TGGGGATTGACTGGACCGTTCGATCGAGTGAGATCAACGACCCAGATTTTCCATGCCCAAACGGCGTCGTTCCATCCGTCCCTAAGGCTGGCTGGGTTGGACCGGGCAAGAGGGTATTTGGACTAGGCCTGGACTTTCTTTTAAAATTGGCCCAGTCCGATTTTTCTCTTGTTTTCTTCTTTTTCTTCTATTTTTTTTTTTAATTCCTAAAACCAAAATTCCTAAATTTAATGGTAAAACCAAGATTATTTAAAAAGATATTAATTTACCCTTAACAACAATTAACACACAAGATCAAAAAATATAATCGCACAATTAAACAATAAAATGACAAAACTATCGGAATTCATATTTTTTGTGATTTTCATTCTTTAAAATAGGACATGGTTTAATTAATTCCAAAATGCATAATTAAATCCTAAATGCACATGCAACACATATTTTCGTATTTTTCTTAATTAAAGTAGAAATAAACACGTGCAGACAACAATACAAATAAATTACAAACAACACCAAACCATTTTATTTTGAATTTTTGGGAGCAGTTCTCATAGGGCAAAAATCACGTGCTCACACAAATCGACAAAAATCGTAGCTTTAATATGTAGAGCCAATAAGATAAGGACCACCAAAAACAAAAGTAACATAAAAAATTCTAGAAATGTACAAAAAATAGCTGAGAAAAGATAAAAACATCACATGCAACAGACATAAACTTGTCAGTTCCCAAATATTCTCAACTCTACAATTTAATAAATTTAAGCTGTAAATACTTACTTTAATCGAATAATAATGCAAGATATCGCTGGAAATAAAAGGTCTTCCTGTTTTGAGCGCACCAAATCGGACCAGACAATGAACCTTAACGAAGCCCTAAAATCGCCATTGATAGTTTAGATAGAAAAAAAAATGAGAGAAATGGTAAAAAGTAAGTATTTTGCCTGTGAGTTTAGGGTTAAAAGACTGACCCATAGGTAAAAGAAATGGGTCGGATCGGTTTAATGATTAAAAAAATACCCAAAGATAATGTTAGCCCCACTGATCCACGTGGACAAATGAAATATGGCCACATCATTTAATGAGATGCAGACATGGAATTCCGTTAGTCGCAGGGATAAATTTGAAATTAGAAATAATGTCCTATATATTTTCAGATGGATAGATGGACGGGGCTTTTATAAATCATTTACCATACAATAGGGGTAATTTTGGCCCTTTTCCATTTTTTATAATCCCCGTTAGCGCTTGGTTGGCCAGTCTGACTTGTCAGATGTACAAAAGCCGCAACTTTCATTAATTGGCTATTTTTCTAACAGCCAAAAACCAAAGCCTATAGTTTTTTCACTTTCACACAGCTACAGAACTAGACTCCATTAACATCTTTAATAATTCTCTCATTTTTTGTATTTTTCTCTAAAGGGGTTTTGTTTTTAATGGCTAAACAGAGAGAAGAAAGTGAGAAGAATGAATTTTGGGATGGAATTATAGAGGGAATTCCTTTATTTGCTAAAGAACTTATAGCTGGTGGTGTAGCTGGTGGTTTTGCTAAAACTGCTGTTGCCCCTTTTGAGCGTATCAAGATCTTATTTCAGGTATTAATTTTTAGCAAATTCTTGGGTTTTTTCTAACTCTTTGATTCAATTGTGCTTTTGAGGCTCAAAGTTTTGTTTTTTTTCATTTATGTGTGCTTTATTTCTTGGCCTTTTTTGGGGTTTACGCATTTGGCCGCTCCGGCAGAAATATTTACATCCCCTAACCAATATACATATATTATATACTAAATTATGTACTAATATATATATATATATATATATATATATATATATATATATATNAGAAAAAGGAAACTGTCTAGATAACTTCGCCGTAAGTTTAAATGTATTTTTGGAATTCCTCTTTCAGGGGAAATGGAGCTAGTGTTGCTCGCATCGTCCCATATGCAGCACTGCATTACATGGCCTATGAAGAGTACCGCCGCTGGATTATAAATGGAATTCCTGGAGTTGGGACCGGTCCGATTCTAGATCTCATAGCAGGATCATTTGCTGGTGGAACTGCTGTACTTTTTACTTATCCACTTGATTTAGTTCGAACGAAATTGGCTTACCAGGTGAGAAACATAAAGGCATACTCTTTTCAATGTTTTCCCATGTGAAATAATTTTCTGTCTCCCTATCGCCCGATATCTCCTCCCTCCAAAAGCATAGTGGAAAAATTGGCAACAACAATAATAAACCTTACCCTTACCCTAGGAGGGCAGAGAGGTTGTTGTCTTGATTAATTCCAACTTCTTTCGAGCTTGACTTTGTTAGTCTAATGAAATTGAGTTGAATTCGCTTTACTGTTCCACGATCAACTGAGGACTGATTTGCATATGATCAGCTAGGTAGTTGGATCCCAAAAGTTAAACGTACAAGGGCTCGTTACTAGTGAACAAGTTTACAAAGGAATAAAGGACTGTTTTTCCAAGACTTACAAGGAGGCTGGAATTAAAGGCTTATACCGTGGTGTTGGTAAGTGCATTGCCTTACCATACTTTGTATTCACGGTTATTAGCTAGTCTTATAAGGTAATATTGCATGTTGCGTTTCAGCTCCGTCACTTTATGGAATCTTTCCATATGCCGGGTTGAAATTTTACTTCTACGAGAAAATGAAGAGCCATGTCCCTAAGGAGCGCAAGAAGGATATCGCCACAAAACTAGCATGTGGATCTGTTGCAGGAGTTCTAGGCCAAACTTTCACTTATCCTCTAGACGTTGTCAGGCGGCAAATGCAGGTAATTTTAGTGAGGTTGTATAAAATTAAAAAGGGCAGCCCGGTGCACAAAGCATCTCGCGTTCACGCAGGGTCCAGGGAAGGGCCGCATCCCAAGGGTGTGTAATGTAGGCAGCCTACCCTAATGCAAACATCGGTGGCTGATTCCACGGCTCGAATCAGTGACCTATAGGTCACATGAAGACGTTGATTTTTTTTTTTTTTGGCAATGGAATGACAGAGAGTGCATGAACTTTTCAGGTTCAGCGACTCTCAGCATCAAACAGCTATGAAATGAAAGGAACACTTGATACTCTTGTTATGATTGTGCGAAGACACGGATGGAAACAACTATTTTCCGGGCTTAGCCTCAACTATCTGAAGGTACAAACATATCGATACATCATCTGACCCTTATTGCCTTTTTAGTATCTATTATGGTAACTGTCTAACTGATGACTACACTATGTTTGAAAATAAGGTTGTACCATCTGTTGCGATTGGGTTTACAGTTTATGATATGATGAAAGCGTATCTGAGAGTACCATCACGAGATGATGCTGTCATAGAAGTTGTCACTAGTAGCAGAAATAGTCAAAAATCCACAATGTAGTCTTGAAAATCGTAACAATCGTCCTCAGGTTCAGAAATCGCCAATCTCTGATGAAGTTTGTAAATTTCCATTCTTTAACATAGGCATGATTCTTCATTACAATAAATTGTCAACTCGGCAAGTTCCTCCCGAATTTACTTAGGATCCGGGCATTCAGTATATACACTGATGTTTAATCACTCAACGCCTTGATCCCAGATTGATTTGGGTTGGCTATACATCCTCCATATCAATCATCTGTATACGAGGTCATGTTGCAATGATGTATATTAACTTGTTGTAAAGCAATGCCTCATTCTGGCATCTTATGCTGTGATAGAAAAGTTTAATGACCTAAGATTGTTAGAAATACTACATGTTACTCTTTAATATCCATTTTTGTGATGTATTCATAGTAGAACCAAGAGAACCGCTGTTGTTTAAGTACAATTTTTTAAAGTTCTCATTGATAATAAAACGTGATCACACTCTTGGAGCAACGGTCAAGTTATCTCCGTGTGACCTATAAGTCATGGGTTTGAACTGTGGAATCAGCTACTGGTGTTTGTATTAGGGTAGGTTCCCTATAGCACACTCCTTTGGGTACGGCCCTTTCCCGGATCTTACGTAAACGCGGAATGTTTTGTTCATCGGACGTCCTTTTTATTTTAAAAAAAAATAATAATAAAACATTTAGTCGCTGTCTTTTAGGCTTTTAGCTTATGTACTCAACAGCCCTCCTACATGCATGTGTCCACCAGAATGCCTCCTCCATTCAGAACGAAGTCAAGCTGATACGTATAATATGCAAAGTTTAGACCCCCATTTGATAGCGCCTGGGAACGCCACCAAAAATAAAGATTGTTCGCATCTACTAAGATGCTCAAGATTGGATAATCTACTGTGGAGGATATAAGTCGTTTAAGAAGAGAGAATCGTTGATTCCTTATAGTCATCTATTTTATTTATCTTTTCAATCGTGACAACTCTTGTGCCCCCATGGAATTCATGCCAAATCTTATATGGCCTCTCATTCTTTTTTTATAAGCTCAGTGGGTGTGTTTTCAACAAAATCAAGAGCTCCATGTAGACGCACAAATGTCCACAAATATAGATAACGGCTCTCGGACATGGATAATTCATTTGCTTTAACATACCCGTTTTAACAGTATTTTTCGTGGATTATATAAATTGTACAAATAAATTTATCAAATACTGAAATCAACCTTAATTCAGAAATATCAGCCAACACATAGATACCATGTTATTATACAATTACATAATAATGAAGCAATAATGATAACAATAATAATAGGACAGTACTCGTACAGTTAATTTCACCAGTTTTTAAGGCCTAGGAAGACCAGCAACGAGTAGATACTGAACTCATAATACATACTACTATATATTTGTGCCATCAAAGGGAACTTGCTGTAAGGCGACTCCAAGCAGAAATCTCTGCATAAAAACAAGAGCCTTCAACCCTCTCAGACAGCATGTAAATGTAGAAAAACAGAAAGACTATTGGGAAAAAAAAAGATAGATATAAGTTCTTTGCACTTTGGACTGTTGGACTAGCACAAAGAGCATGTTTAACAGTCAGTAGCGTTAAGATTGAACCTTTGTCCTCTCTGCTAGGTTCGTAGACGACTTCTTGTTCACTTTGCAGATATAGCATACATGAGGGATGCAAGTCATATGATGTAATCAGACCATTCAGAAATGAAAGATGTATGATCCATACTCTCTCCGGGACATTCCTCATGCTTAGTTGGTTGTTCCTTCCCTCCAACCAACCTTGCTGGATTCCCAACTGCAGTTGTCCGTGGTGGCACGTCAATCAATACCACTGATCCAGCGCCAATCTTGGCCCCCTCACCAATCCTCACGTTGCCCAATATTGTGGCACCTGCACCTATGAGCACACCATCCCCAATCTTAGGGTGCCGGTCACCACCAATCTTACCAGTCCCTCCTAAGGTTACATGGTGAAGAATTGACACGTTGTTTCCAATAACTGCAGTCTCGCCAACCACCACTCCTGTTGCATGATCAAAGAGGATACCTTTACCGATCTTGGCAGCTGGATGAATGTCAACAGCAAAAACATCAGAGATTCGGGATTGAAGTGCCAGAGCAAGTGGCCTTCGGGATTGAGTCCAAAGCTTGTGGGCTACTCGATGTGCCTGAAGAATATAAAACTACCTTGTTAATAGTTCCTACCTACCACATGGCTCAAGAAAGGGGAGAAACACATGCCTATCAATCAATATTATATTTCCAGAAGATGCCAACGACTACTAATTTTGGCCAAAAAAAAAGAAGAATATATCTGATTGTTTGTTAACCAAACGAAACGTTTACTTTTCCCTCTTCAGCTTAGAATATGATTTTGATCAAGAAGCTTAGAATATGATGAACTGCCCAAAGTGTTAATTAGCCAAGTATATCTCGTAGTCAGCGAGAGCCAAATCCGCAAATAGTGGTATAGAACAATGTGTACTAGAAAAGTTAAAAAGTAAAGGATAAAAAGCGTATATCCATCTGAATCTACATACACATGAACATTAATCTTTTGTTTCTGGGGTGTTTGCCAGTGAAGACCTCCCTCCTATCTGAAAACCTTCCCTTTTTGTAATTCCTCTTTACCACTATCACACTGTGTACCAGCCACAAACTAGTGATAAAACAACGTCCATATTAATGGAGATGATAACCCACAATACGTTGACAGAGGAGTACAACCTAATCCTATACTCTAAATCCTCTCTCTTTATAATGTTATTGAGCTTATTTGAGCTCTCAAGCTTGTAGAAGAATTTGGCCACATTCCATGGGCTATACACTTCACTGCGACAACACTCTTTCCCCATTTTAATCCATTGAACAAGACCAACTTCCCCTACTTTATGAATACCTCAAATGAAAGATCGAATTGTTGTCTTTCGATCTAATCTAAGCTTGGGTGCAGAGTTACACAGTACCTATATCGGTGGAAAGATACAAGTCCATTAGTATAGTTGAGGAGTGTACAATGAAACAAGAAGACAAGGGTTCGATTGTTGTAAGGAACAGGTACTTATTCCCATCCGCTTTTAGTTAGTGCTCATTGATAGCTCACTGGTTCGGAAACCACTGCCATTAGTTAAGGAAAAGAGATCGTCTCTTCCCATCATCTTGCTAATGTAACCGCTTGACAAATATGCCTTGTTCTTTTCATACAGAACAATATGCCTATTGTTATAACATAGTAGTACATTAGCAAGGTATGAACAAGGTAAGATCCCAAAACTTAAAAAGTTTCAAATATTACTCTCACATTCAAGTAGATACACCTTCTCACATCCTAAATCAATTTTTTAACCAGTATTAACTTCTCAAGGCCAGTCTATTAGAAGATTGAGACTTCACTTTACAGGCTCCTCCAACAACTTCAACCTCAAATTTCACATAATGCATCTCAACTTCGAAATTTCCCGACAAACCATCTTTTCTTATTCAAAAGTCCTCATCTTTCCAAAAATTTCACAAAATTCCCCATCTTTAATAAAGAGACAATTTTACAAAATCACTATAATGTAGTAAAATTTTCATATTCCCTCCAAGAGAATGATGCCTTCAAAATTTGGTAACAGATTATTAACTTAAACTTTCCATTTTACCCTTAATACAAGTTTTTATATTCTCACAAATGTTTGGTATTTCCAACATTATAAGTTTCAAGTCATAAAACTCTTATTACTTGTTTCTTAAACTTACTGTCTAGTCAAATTTTGACTCATAAATTGGAGTATAATGCATCTCCACTTCCAAATCCCCCAAAAATTCATCTTTTCTTACTCAAAAGTCCCTCTCTTTCCAGAAAACTTCCACAAAAGTCCCAATCTTTCTTGAAGAGCCAAATTTACAGCATCATAATTCATATATAAAATCCATAAGGTGAAAAAGTAATTACTGACCTGACAAGCAAGGAAACCTTTGTAGTTAAGCAAACAATGAGAGAATGAAACACAAGCAGGGTCCCGGTAACGAGCAGCGAGTAGGTCAGCGGAAGCGGCGGCGCGTAGCTCAGGTTCATTAGAGAAAGTATTGAGAAACAGATCATAAAGGAGTGTGGATAAGAGCGTGGAAGAACAAAGCTTGTTTCCCAAATGGAAAGAGAGCGAACGTTCAAGCGAAGAGTGAGAGAGTATAGTTGAGTATAAGTAGCTGGCTAATGCCGGCTCGGCTTCGGCGTCGCGCCGAGCTTCGGCTTTGATTTGTGTCCATAGGCATGTGGATTCTTCCGCCGTGTCTGTCGGTGGATGTGGTGTCGCCGGTGTGGCATTGCGGTATTCTCCGGCTGGCATATCGGATAACGTCGGCGTTTAATGAAGTTTTTGCAGCGGAGTTAGTGAGATTTTTTACCCTTTTTGGAGGAGCATTTATATGGAAAGATAGAGAAGATGACACGTGGGGAGATTCTGACCGGCCAACTTTCTAGAAGTTTGATAAAAATATAAACAATTTTCTTGTGGTAATTGATTTTTTAATTGAAATTTAACATGTTACTCTACCTAATATTACATAGGAGAGAGTTTTGGAGCATAGATAAAATTGTCTTTGTAAAATCTAATTAATGGATTCGAGCTATAGAAGTAGTCATATTAACGTAATGTTTTGGGAGGATATAAAAATATTTTTATATTCTTTGGGAGGAGACTCTTTTCCTACGTGAATACTTAATGTTTTGTACATCGAACTATTCTTTTAATCTACGTAATATTATCTATTTATATTTAAAAATAATTTGATATTATACTTCTTACCTGCGGTAACACCAAATATATAAAAATATTTTTAAATAATAATACCACAAGATATACCTTAAAGAGTCATAAAGACGTAATTTTATTTGCTTATTTTATGATGATTTATAGTTATACAATGTAAATATTTATGGCTTATTTTTAATTAAAACTTTCAAAACTATTTATTTTATTTTTATTTATAGTGCATCACATAACTGATATTAATAAATTATTTTTAATCAGTATTTAGCGACTCATAAAAGAAGTAATTTGATTGTGTAATTTTCTTTTCATAGAACTTAAACACAAAGAATAAAACAATTAGGTGGCACCTACACCTAAAACGTAAACGAATTAAATTGACTGCAAGTTGGAGGTCTAGTCGTTTGTAGGTCTTGACTCTTGAATTTCTACTGCAAGTTACGTGTTGCAATGATTTAGGTTGACAAGTAAATTTCAAAGTTTAATAGTTCTTGCAGCGTCGATATTTAAAAAAGTGAATAAATGAATGATCATTATAATATCGTATTAAAAAAAATTGCAGAGGAGGATGAATAGTTTTTAAAAATTAGAATTTCAAGTATGCTGAAATTATTCTTTACGCACTTTTAATCCTGCTCCTCTGGTTTTCAGTTTGGTTTTAAATTATACTGCCTACATCAATTTTTTCATAAAAATAAAACTTTAAAAACTTAAAAGCATGCAGCATT